AAACTGCTCCAAAGAGGTAGGAGAGGAGCTAGGATATATAGGAATTTTACAACAAAGACCAGGTAGTCGGAACGTTAAAAGATTACTTGTTAAATGAAGAAAACTGGACATGTCAAGTTAAAGAATTTAGTGCTTTTCTATGTATGGGAGGGAGCAAACATTTCGGCTCATTGAATTCATTCCTTTGACAAGCACCTAGGCTATCTAGGGCCAATATCCTGTCCTTTCTTATTCTCAGTCCCCTCAGAGTGCACCATTGTAAGTGGCTGCAGAGGCTGGGCTGCAGGCTTGTCTTCACTGGAGGGTGGCGGTAGCGGCTGATGACTTGGTGGCTTCAGCATTCTTTGTTTACTGATATGGCTTGCAGTATTTTTCGTTCACAGGGACCAACAGGAGGTCCCTTTGGCCCTCCAAACTTAGGTAGTGTTGTATCCAAAACCTTTGTTTTAATCCCATTAACATCTGTTTTATTTATTTCATTTCTTAACCATCTAAAGATTTTTATTCTTTAAAATTTGTTGGAAAGAAGTGTCTAGACTTTCCCATCAGTTTTTTCTAGTTCCCCTGTTAATCCACCTAATTAACAGTTAATCTGTTTTTATTAGCATCCGTAAGTTTCATTGAAGGGAAACAGACTACAAATGCAGCTTCCCAAACTGGTTTTTGCTGTTGTTGTTTTTTAAATTTATTTAAATTTATTTATTTTTTGATCATCTTTATCCTTTCTTTTTTTTTAACACCTGTAGTGTGGTGTGATTCCTGTACAGTAAAATACACATATTTCAGATGTACAACTTGATGAATTTTGATAGATGTATACACCAGTGGAAACCATCACCACAATCAAGATAGCTAACATTTCCATCACTCCCTAGGAGGTACAAATTTCGAATTCCCAGTTAATCCCTTCCCATCTCCATTACTCCCTGGTAACCATAAGTTTGTTCTTTACGTCTGTGAGTCTGTTTTTGTTTTGTAAACAAGTTCATTTGTGTCTTTTTTTTTCTTTTTTCAGATTCCACATATAAACGATATCATATGATATTTTTCTTTCTCTTCATGGCTTTCTTCACTTAGAATGACAGCCTCCAGGTCCATCCATGTTGCTGCAAATGGCATCATTTTATTCTTTTTTATGGCTTAGTAGTATTCCATCGTGTATATATACCATATGTTCTTTATCCAGTCATCTGTTGATGGACATTTCGGTTGTTTCCATGTCTTGACTATTGGAAATAGTGCTGCTGTGAACATTGGGGTGCATGTATCTTTTTGAATTATATTTTCCTCCAGATATATGTCTTAAGAGTGGGATTGCTGGATCAAATGGTAAGTTTATTTTTAGTTTTTTAAGGAACCTCCGTACTGTCCTCCATAGTGGCTGAACCAATTTACATTCCCACGGGCAGTGTAGGAGGGTTCCCTTTTCCTCACACCCTCTCCAGCATTTACCGTACATAGACTTTTTAATAATGGCCATTCTGACTGTTGTGAGGTGATATCTCATTGTAGTTTTGATTTGCATTTCTCTAGCAATTAGTGATGTGCTTGTTGGCTATCTGTCTGTCTTCTTTGGAGAGATATCTATTTATGTCTTCTGCCTATTTTTTGATTGGGTTGCTTGTTTTTTTTGATATTAAGCTGTATGAGTTGTTTGTATATTTTGGAAATTAGTCCCTTGTCAGTCACATCATTTGCAAATATTTTCTCTCATTCTGTAGGTTGTGGTTTCATTTTGTTGATAGAATCCTTAGATGTGCAAAAACTTTTAAATTTAATGAGACCCCATTTGTTTATTTTTGCTTTCATTTCCATTACTCTAGGAGCTTGTTCAAAAAAAATATTGCTGTGATTTATGTCAGAGTGTTCTGCCTATGTTTTCCTGTTGTTTGTTTTAAACTAAGGGATTTCTTAAGGTTATCCTTTTTAATTTTTTTGCATTTACCTTCTACTTTGGTCTTTTCATAGGTACCAATAAAATAGGTGTTTATATTGAGAGCTCTTTAAAAATTTACCAATTCAGGAGTTTCTCCAGTTTAAAGGATCTATCATCTGGCCACTGAAGAATAGTATCTTAAAGACTACTCAAACCAATAAGATGCGAAAGGTGTCCCCACAACAGAATGCAGGGGATGCAGCCTTCACAAGATCTAGAAAGTTTACTCCCTAAAATACTAAGAAAGTGAGGGCCTTCATTGTACAGAAAAACGCAACAAAGATTGAGATGACAGGAGCCCATTATGGGCTGGGACCCCTTATGACAAAATTCTCTAAGAGTTGGCACAACCAGAGAAAGACTGCTCAGAATCCCAGATTACCGGGTGGCTGCCAGATATACATCATATGTGTACTTCCTGGATTCCAGGAACCAAGCTCTCAAGACACAGGGGGGAGAAAAAGCCTGAGAAGATCAGGTAGAATATTTACATCTCAAAGACACACAGAGAGAAATGCAAGTTCCTCCTAGAAGGGCCTTTGTTCCTTTAAGGTCAAAATTCTGAAAAGATGGTTTCTCAAGCTAGCTTTTTCTAGATGCACACACACACACACACACACACACCAAACACAAATTAATTTTGGAATGTCAAAAGAACCCCAATTTGGCCATTTTTAGGCTGAGATGTCCTTTAATTCTCAGATAAGCAAGTACTTGTAGGAAAAAATTCTGTACATGCATAATAAAATCTTCCTAGTGTCTCTCAACTGGGGTAGCCCACTCAGTGTCTTTCAATTGAGCAAAATCTTCCCAGGATCTTTCATCTTGGGTAATTTCATCTTGAGTAACCCAGGTAACTCTTCTTGAAACTAAGTTCAAGGAAAACCTACTCTTCCAGAGAGGAGTTTATCCACCACCAAATAAAACTTAAGATCATCAGCCAATAAGGGGAGATCCAAGAACCAGGAGAGACTCTCCCAAATTTGCCTGGTCTCTCTGAGAGGGCAGACAGGCTTAAGAGGCCTCTGCTGGTACCAAGGCTCCAGGTCCTCGTAGAGTCCAGGCAAAGGGGAGAAGTCTGCTCTGGGTCCCTTTACTGTTCACCAGAATGGTCAACTGAAGAAAAATGCACAACCTGAAAGTTTCAAGTTAAGCCTTATTTGAAGATCTTACTGAGGACTGTAGCTTGGGAGGCAGCCTCTCAGGTAACTCTGAAGAACTGCTCCAAAGAGGTAAAGGAGAGGCCAAGATACATAGGAGTTTTTTGCTTCAAAAAAAAAAAAATCTAGTCGAACATCAGAGATTACTCTTAGTCATGAGAAACAGACATCTCAAGTTATGACTTCAGTGCTTTTCTAGGTATGGGAAGATGCAAGAATCTGGGCTCATTGAAATTGTTTGTTAGATATGCATTTTAACTATCTTGGGCCAGCACCCAAAGCACATAATGCTGCTGCTTTTTCTCTATCCTGATTTCCCCTCAGCATGTACAACGGGGTGAGGGGGTTGGGGTGTGTGTGTGACTGCAGTGGCTGATGGCTTGATCCCTGTTTACCAGAATGACAGGCTACATTCCCTGTCCACATCTATCAGATCCTTCTTAAATGTAAATGAGTGTGAATGTAAATGTAAATAAGTTTCCCTCGTCCTGAAGCTGAACTGTTGTTATACTTGCTCTTGTGTTTCCCTTATTGGGCAGAGCTGGGGGAGGTGGGGAAATGGGGTTGTTTTGGAATGGGTCAGACAGCAGAGAATCATTATGAAATCTCCATTGGCTGTGACCTTGCTCTGGAATAAGGCGCCTCCTCCTGCCTGCTGGAGTCCTGGGCCCTCCCCGCCCTCCCAGCCTTACCTTCTTGTGGATAAAGAAGAGGGCTGCAGACAGGGTGTACTACTGGCACCCTAAAGTATGTATCTGAATCCACTCTTCCTTAGAATCTAGGTACTGTTTCTACTTATAGTTTCTGAGTGCTTGTCTTGTGTCTAGTATTGTATTTAGGGCAAAACATACCCAGCTGTCATAGTGAGGCAGGAAGGTAGTGGGCAGGACACAGCCATTAAAGGAATGACATAGCAGTTAGCACCAAGATGGTGGAAGATTCAACTCCCAGTAGACCTGGAGGCCAAAGATGGCAGGACATTCAACCTCCAGTGGACCTTAAGCTTCATTATACTCATTGTAAGGTACTAGCATGGTGAATGACACACCCACAGGTGCCATGACAATTCCAAAGACAAAAGAGTGGGCAGTGGCCCAGCTCCTGGGAATCCCCGCCCTTTCCCCAAGGTAGTTGGAATAATCCTCTCACTTGTCAGCATATAAAAACGAGCAAGACCGCACCTCAAGGGCTTGAGCTCTCTCTCTTGCTTTTGAGAGGGCCTGCGCTCTGTCTGTGGAGTGTGTATCTACCTTATTTTAACAACTTCCCCCGCCCCCTCCCCGTCTACACCTCTGTAAATAAATCCACTTTTACTCAACTATGGCTCACTCTTGAATTCTTTCCTGTGTGAAGCCAAGGATCCTCACTTGGCAGGGTGTGTCCCAGGGACTTGTGACAGTAGGCTGGGAGGGGTGTGCAGGCCAGTATCCCCATCTTGGCTCTTGGATGATTATAGTAGCCTCTACATGGTCTCCCTATTCTCTACTTCTCCCCCAGTGCCCCCCCACCACAAGTCAGAGTCATCTTTTTAAACATTGTTAGATCTTATCTTTCCTCTACCCAGAACTTTTTGGTGCCTTCCAGTCTCATTTGAAGCCAAAGCCAGAGTTCTTGCCGTGGCCTATGGTGTATGCAGTGCCGACTGGTGCCTGCCAAGGCTCTGAGACCCCCATTCCCAGGCTCTCAGATGTCCACCTGCAATCCCTGAAAAAAACAAAGTACACCCTTTCCTAACGTTGTTTGCTGTAGCAGAATTAACAGCCCTGGGAAATGACTAGCCTCACCAAGGCTCAGGCCGACTTGTTCTCCTCCTTATCGGAATCATGAATTCCACTACCTTGCCTGTGTCAGCCCATGTCTCCATCTCACTGGAGTCATAAATCTACTACCTGCCTTATACCAACTCCCCTTACCTCACTTACAGCCAATCAGAAATCTGTTACCCTATCCCTTTGTGTTCACAGCCCCTTCCCCGATAAAAGACCCTTCACGTTCACACCTGGTGGACACACAGGCACCTCTTGCCTGTGTGGCCCACTGTTGCCTGTAGCAGCAAACCTATTGTTCTTGAACTTTCTTTGCCTTTGGTAAATTCTTACCAACCGGAGCCACAGGCTCCACCAAGTGTTCCTCAACAATACTGTATATATTACATATACATCTACATATATTCTCTGCACTCATGACATAGCTTACTTTAATTTTTTTGATATTTCTAGGCTACGTAGTTTGCAAGTTTTTTCAGATTGTTGCAAATCTCAAAAATAATTTTCCAATATATTTATTGAAAGGAAATCTGCATATAAGTGGACCTGCACAGCTCAAACCTGTGTTGTTCAAGGTGATGGCAAATGCAAGTTCATGTGTAGGACGCACGGTGAGGCAAGCAAACGGAAAAGTCGGATTCTGGAGCAGAGAAAGGTTTACTGCAGGGCCAAGCAAGAACAGGTGGCTCTTGCTCAAAAGACCTGAACTCCCTGTTGGTTTTCTGGGAGGTTTCTATAGTCAAAATCTGGGGTGAGGGCTGCAGGGTGTATGACTTTCTTCTGATTGGTTGGTGGTGGGGTACCAGGGCGGTGTTCCAGGAATCTTGTGCTCAGCCTGAAGTTACCAACCTCCACCTGGGTGGGGGCCTTAGCTCCTTCAGTAGAACTCGGGGATATGTATCAGATTGCTACGCATATCCCTTGAGGAGGAATCAGGGCCCTTCCCCATTGCTGCGCTATTGTTTCCTGACTGCCTCTCCCTTGTTTTGCATTCCTTCACTCTGAAGAGTAACTGTTTGACTCTGTCCTTTGGAATTCAGGGAAGGTTTAGGAGGCTGAAGCCTTTTCCTACAAAAAAGAAATGGGTGTATGTAGGGAGCAGAGAGGGGGACACGGAAAGTCTTTGGTACCCAGGAGGGCCCCACAGGATGCTGCTCAGTTTCAAAGGGTCAACTGTATTTACTTTATGTGCACTTCCATCTATTTAAAAAGACTGAAAAATTAAAGAGACAGAAAACAGATCCATGGTTGTCAGGGGCTGGGGTGGGAGGAGGGGATTTCTTTGGGGGTGATGGAAATGGTCTGTGTCTTGATTTTGGTGGTTATATGACTACATTTTCAAAAGTTCAAAAACTATACTTAAAGAGGATGCGTTTTCCTGTTTACAACACTGTTTTCAGTTGGCATGCTTTCAATAAACATGACAAGAAACAAAGATTAGGCTGATTCATGAGTAGAGTTGGCAGTATATTGGAAGGAATGTTATACCTACCAAAATATTCCCCTTTTTGGGGAGTCATCTATACCTTTTTTCCACAAGTCATTGGTTTCCCCATAGATCCCTAGCTGGCCTTGCCAGTATCTCCTCAGCTGGAAGGATGAGGCTGTTTAGGACAAGTGAGGAGAGGGCTGAGAGGGGACCTGCCGAGCTTCCAGAGTCACGTCTTAGCTCCCTACAGGGCATATAGTCACCCTTTGATGGCCTTTGCTTACCTCTCCAGCCTCATTTTCTTACTGCCCCTGTTGAGGGGCAGAATAGGTTCTTGCCTCGCGCAGGAAAGAATTCAAGAGCAAGGCATGGTAAAGTGAAAATAACTTTATTTAGAGAGATATATACTCCATGGACAGAGTGCAGTCTGTCTCCCTCAGAAGGGAAAATGGCTTAGGCGATACACACTTCATATGCAGAATGTAGACCATCTCAGAAAGGTGAGAGGGAGAGAAGTCGAGAGGTGTGGAGTGTTTAAAGTAAAAGTCAATACATACTCCGTGGACAGAGTGCGGACCGACTCAGAAGGTGAGCAGGACAGAGCGAGGGTGGCAGAGCGAGTGAGAGCGGCCACGAGGTGCGGAGTTGTTAGGGTTTATGGGCTCGGCAATTTCACATGCTAACAAGTGGGAGGATTATTCCAACTGCTTTGGGGAAGGGGCAAGGATTTCCAGGAAACATCCTCCCTGCCCACTTTTGACCTCTTAAAGGCAGCCTAGGAACTGTCACGGCGCTTGTGGGTGCGCCATGACGCTCAAGGTCTGCTGGCAGTCGAATCTTCCACCATCTAGGTTCTAACCAGCTTGTCCTGTCTTCGATGGCTGTGTCATTCCTTCAGTGATTGTGCCCTGCCCCTTTCCTCCCACTTCTCTCCTTCCCGAAACATAAACTATAGTATTTTAAACTGCATGTGTTTCCCAACAGTCTCTTTCAGTTTAAGGACTTTTGCTTTCCTTTACTAGACCAACTTTCTCTTTTCCCCTCTTCACATCATCTGGTTAGTCTCCTCTAGGAAGCCACTTCTTTTTTTTTCTTTTTTTTTTTAATCAAAGTATAGTTGATTTACAATGTGTTAGTTTCTATTGTACAGCAGAGCGATTCAGTCATATATGTACATGTTGCAGAAAAATGTGTTACAGCTCAGTTGTAACAGCAACCTGGATCCGGGCGAGAGACCAAGCAGCACTCGGAGAGTTGGAGAACTCAGGTTTATTATGCCAGCGGGCCCAGAGGAGTTAACACTCCAAGCTCTGGACCCTGTCTGTAGGTTCACACAGGCTTTTATAGGCTGCCAGTTTACACTTTGCAACATCATATACAAGTAAAGTATAACAAAAGTTGACTAATTAGGAACAAGTTTTGTAGAAATAAACCAATCAGGAGGGAGAGAAATAACCAATCAAGAGTGAGCTCCATGCAAATGAAGTACTACAAATGGACCAATCAGGAGTTGGCTCTAGGGAACCAATAGAATTTTAGGGGT